TATCTCCAGCCTCTAAATCCGATTTCCAGTGCTAACTGATGAGATGAGATGATGAAATTGTGATAAAACTGCCCAAATACAGCAGCCCAACAGTGTGTCTTTAGATATTCTAGCTACTGAAATTCATATCCATATCTCCTATTTCAATGTAATGTAATACATTTGTTAACAAGTATATTATTTTCTTATACAGCAAGAACAGGTATGCTGGCATTGATGTATTTATTTATTTATATTACTCATATAACAATAAATGTACAATCATTGGAATACATATTCCAAATGGAAAAAAACATGCCAAGACTGTAATATAACACTTTTACACATTAGCATTTTTTCCAATAAAAACTACGTGGTAGCCTGCTGCTGATTTCAGATCATCCCTTTCATTTTGCCTTTTACTTCAATTTCAGTTTTTTTGTGTGCATTTTTTATATCATCAAATGTTCCCCCTTATCAATTTCCTCCACGGCAGGCAGTGTGACCACCAGTCTGTCAGGACACCCTGCCTGAACATAACTGATCTCTGAGAAATCAATGCAAGGCTGTTGGAGGCTAAGGTGTTAGACAGAACTGTATTTGGTGCATACTGACCCATAGTAAGGAGAGAGCTGTGGGGGAGGGCCAAGCTTTAATCAGGTATATAATTACTACTCAACTGATAAATCAGTCTTGTTTGAAAAGATCAATTATTGAAAACTGTTTGCACGTACTAAGCAAGTGTAATATTGGATCACACAAAAAGGAGCCGAACTGGAACAACACTGTAGTAGAATTAACACAGAGTCCAACAAATGTCTGACAAGGCAATATTGCTACCAATCCCAGAAGTCAAAAGCATATAATTACAATCCCTGTAGCCTTTGCAAACTATGGCTACCAGGTGTTAGTTTTCTCTAATATTTATTAATGACATGTAACAATGATACCATTCCACCAGACTCCATAAAGCAGCCCTATTATACATGCATCATATTTAACACAAACAATATATGACATTACCAATGCTGATTAATGCTCAGCAATGATATCAAATATTCAGATAGTGTAGCATATATGCCTAAAATGAGTTAACATAAAATTATCTTGCAAAATCATCTGGGTAATTATTGGATAGGAAAATTTTCAAGTGGCTCCTGAAGTCCAGCAATAAGCTAATGAAGTGCGATCTGCACTTTAATCGCTTATTTAAAGTGTAAAGGTGACACTAGGGGTCTTTTGGACCCCCAGTATCACCTTAGAGAGTACTTGTCACTACTAATCTGCTATCACATGGGGGGCTTGTAAGCCCCCCTATGTGATAGCAATTAAAGTAAAGTAACAAAAATAAAAATAACAGTTTTAAAAATAATATTAAATTAAATAAATGTCAAAATAATTTTACAAAATGTTCAACTCCCCCACTAACACGCAAAGAGGATTTGATAGGTCCTCTTTATGTAGATATCAGGGATCTATTAGAATAAATGTCACCTAGAAACCCCAAAATAGCCGATGAAGCACAGATCTGCGTTATCAGCTTGTTCTCTGGCTACAGCAGCTGGAGAAATTACATACTGAAACCAGAAGTGGTGTAATACATGTCGCTTCCAGGTTCAGTGATCGGAGGGGAGATCAGTCGCTGGGAGTGTGCTGATCTTCCTTTGTTCAAGGTGAACAGGCCTGCCGTGCCGGTCCGGAGGGACAGTAGAGCCCAGGATAGCTGTCAGGGGCGACGAGGAGGGGGTGCAATTACCAGGCACCGTACAAGCGATCGGGCGGCTCTATAGCTGCCAGATCACTTGTATGTGAACAGCCATCGCACTGGTATAACTTTTTCAGGATGCTGTTTATTTACGTACGCGGTCCTGAATGAGTTAATATAATTGTTATATTTAGGGATGTTCAGATACCAGGTACCATAAAAGGACATGTACAGATACTTTTCCAGCTCCAAGACTAGAGTAGAGAAAAACTCAAAAGTTAGGAGGCAGATGTCATTTGTAAGGAGCATACGGAGCTCCTGGGATTTGTGCATCCCTGTTTTAATGTATGATTTTTTTTAAATAAATATAAATAAAGAGATGCACCAATACCATTTTTTCAAGTACGAGTACTGATACTTGCCCAAGTACTCACAGATACAAGTACTGATACATTTTTGTTTAGTGTCATGTGACAGTTTTTTCTAAAACAATACAGACTAATGATTTCAGGACAGTGGTGGAGCGCCAGAGCCAGGTCCCAACTGCAACCGCTGCAACCCTGGTAGTTCTCATGAAAATGCCAAGTATCTGCACTGGTATCTAAACTTGTATCTGAGCATCCCTATATTACTATTAATATTCTGTGGTTATCAGTTTAGGTTGGATAATACTGTTCTGTATATTGATCATTGGCCAGTGCAGTACACATTATGAACTGCTTTTGGCACAGTCACAGTTCTTAGTTCTTCATCCCTGATAGATGAAACCTTCTGCCTTGAGAAAGGATCAATGTTGTGCTGGTTCAGAATAATATACAGGTGAATGGGAATTATTCTGATGTACTCTCTAAAGTGCTGTATAATATGTAAACACTTTATATAAAATATATCATCCAAATGTATAATGCAATAAAATGCATGCTAGGGAAGACAACACATTCTGTGTAATAATATTTATTATTCTGTACATATCCTTAATTATAATGGTGACTAAAAGATACACAATCATATTTTGTAACTGACAAGGGCATAGTCTTTCCCAGCAACTATTTATGTTGACAGATATGGACTTGATTTCAGAGAATTGAAGGCTTTATCATATTTTTCAACAACTGGGTGAGAATATAGTTAGGTATTATTTGTGCACTACTATAACAAAAATGCAAGACTAAGCCTAATATATTTAAAGAGACCCTGTCACCAACCTAACTGCAGATAAAAGTATACAAAAATCAAGTAATTGAAAGGCTTACTTGTGTTTTATTTTATTAACAATATTTTTTTTCTTTACTTGCAGTGTGCCTTTGAACTTGCATGAAAATGTGACTACTCCAGCAAAGTCAATATCCCTAGCACAGTCCCCCTCTCTCCTTACATGTCATAGCCCTCTTTCTCTTCTGGGAGTGTCTAACCTCTCTCTGTGCTGGCTCAGCTCCTCTGCCATTCCCCCCCATCTCCCTATGTAATGTTTTATGTAGCTGTTGGGAAAGGTGGGAAGGGGAATAGTCTACAGTATCACTTGAGTCTGGCAGGGCTGCTGACATCATATCCATGGCGGCACCAGGCAGCAGTCTCAGAACTGGGAGGGGGGGGGGGAGTTTAACAGTAAATAACAGGCATGATATATGTTACATGCACATATAATCTTATGCAAAGTTTTTTGTAAGAATTAATAATCTGACAACAGTTTTTCTTTAAAAGAAGTTTACTGCTATAGTACGTTTACCTTGTCTTAAAGAAAATATGTTATTGAAAATATGTTATGTAGTATTGCCCTGTTTATTATTACCTTTTTTGACCACAAACATATTCTCCGTATAGATATGGATGATCCATTTTCCCCCCACAACTACAAGTATATCCAAATCCAAAACCTTTTTTTGTTTCGGAAACTTTGAGGAATAGAGAAAATCCCCATCAATTTTTTACGGGTTCCATTGGGGAGATTTACTTTAACCTTCCAACCTATAAACATAACAGGAGGTTAGAGGATATATCTATAATGTGAGGGAAATCCCTTCCAAGACAGTTGCCACTGGAACAAATGTGCTAATTGCATTATTCGCCCTCTACTCCTGTCCTTGTGATAACTCAAAATTTTGGAATTCCCCCTAAATTCCAGTCCCAGTGACAATGGAAGGCAGAACAAAGAGCAGGTGAATATTCCCATTGGGGACACGGGAATAAAAACCTCACAGGGGTTCTAACCCTTCTTCTACTCCATACAAAATACAATAAAATGATTTAGCTTTAGATATGTTTCCACTTTTCACCAGGGTTATATGTTTACGGTTGAATCCAGCCTTGTTAAATATAACACAAGGCATATATTAAAACACATAGGGGTCTATTCACGAAGCTGCCGAAGGATCTGGCCGTAGCTTCGGCCGATCCTTCGGCTAGCTTCGGCCCCAGGACCCCTTCGGTTCAGTAGAACCGAAGGGGTGCTGTACGGGCTATTCACAAATTACTTCAGTGTTTGGCTCACTTCACTTCTGATCGGTCATTCACTCGGCTGCCCTCGGCGGCTTAGTGAATAGACCCCATAGACAAAGAAGATCATTTATCATTTATGCACACTGCATGGGGCACGTGAAGTGCAGTAGTCATGCTCAGCTCATTCCCAGCATCTATAACATGCTGAGAATGGAATCAGGTTGTGAGGGCAATGTGATTCCTGTGCACATGCTCAGAAATGACAACACAAATGGCCGCTCAATGGCCAAAAAATAGTGAGGTGGAACCTAAGAGATGAAGTGGTGGTAAAGATGATGACTGCAGAGGACAGAGTAGTGACTGTGAGTCTAAACCTGCTATTGCTGGAGGAGGGAACACTCTAGCCTTTTTTTCCCTATGTACAATGTACACTGCATAGTGTACAGCTCATTCCCAGTATCTATGAGATGCAGAGAATGGAACCAGGTTGTGGGGATAATGTAATTCCTGTGCACATGTGCAGTAATTACATGACACATGGCCACCCAATGACTGAAGAAGAATGAGGTGGAACCTACAAGATGAAGTGGTGGGGACTATGGCGACGGAGGAGGACAGAGCAATGACTGTGAGTAGAGACCTGCTACTGTTGGAGGTAAGAGGTAATTATGCATAATGCATGAATATCCTGTGTATACTTGCACATTATGGCAACAGCCCACCCTCTCCCAGCGTACTTTAGTTCTTCTTAAATAAAAGGTGTAAAGCAACGGTTCTGTTATTTTGTGACAGATGAGGTGCTTTATGTATTAGAAGGCTACATGCAGACTTTCACATAGTTTACACTTTTCATTGTATATGACAATTCATAAACTATTACCTGAACCAAGAACCAGGAAATGATGACAGATACCCATGGGTTACCTCCTCGGGATGTCACATTTGCTGGCATTAGGAGATTCCCTGTAAAAAAAATACGAACCATTAGCCTGGGTTTAGTTAACTTATTTGAAATACTTTTAAATCTCAATCGGCTTTGATAAACCTACAATACTTGTATATGGATCACTTACAACAATGTTCAGGGCCAAAGTATGTTGACTGAATGTAAAAGAATAATGTGATCTATAAATTACAAAAGATATACAGTGCCATAGTGTGGCCACTGCTACTTAGTGAGTTACATTCGGTTTAGTATTTAGTGGCTACATTTACAGTACATAGCGTTGTACACTGTGTTCTGCTGTCTGACAAACAAACATAAATTCAATAGCAAGTGCATAGGTAAAAAATAAATAGATATTAAAGGCATGCAGTATCCTTCAATATTTATCATTGTACAGGAACAGTGTTTTGAATAGTGATCACCACCATTTACCAACTTATGAACCACTTTTAATATAGACTGAACAATACCACGTATGAAAAAAAGCAGCAGTTACAACAGTAATAGTAAATAAATGAATGGGTCACATGGGAATGAACAGGTCTGATAGATGAATCATTCTGTATCAGATGGCTCAGTCTGCAGTTTCAATCAGACAACTCCTGCCACAAAGCAGGCTGATTCTGCTGTGCTGTCTTTTTTGCAAACCTTTAGTGCACTGGGAAATCTTTTCTTATGTAGTAAATATGTATTTGCATCATTAAAATTGTATATAAAGTAAAACAATAATAAATAAAACAAGAGTTAACAAACTTAAAGTAGAGGATCACTTAAAGGCATTGTCCACCTTTTAAAAAAAAAAAAAAGAATAAATGCACCCATACTAATAAAAAAAAATACCCAGTCATTATTTTTTTGCATTTGAGCCTGCAAAGCATTGCAACCCTGATCAGTGCATTGCAGGTAATGCTCAGGATCCTGCAAAGTCTTCCTTCCAGCCACTATCTGTACCAAGGTACAGACTTTCAGTGGGACGGGAAGAAGTGTCAATGAACTCCAAGTGCGCTGACAGCGCAGTTGTGTACCATTGAGAACTATGAATCCCTCTGCTGCTTCATTCACAGATCCTAAGAATGGATGATGCAGCTGTGCATAGTTCTGCCCGCTGCATCACAGCCATAAAACAAAATTACAAGAGCCTGCGGGGAGATTAACCTCGCAACTCAAAAAAATTGGGGTTGCGGTGTGGTGTGTGTGGG